CCAGTTGGCCAGGAAGGGATTCCGGGCGGTTCGCTGCCCTGAGGGTCTGGCCGGGAAGGTTCTGTGCAGAGACCTGCCAGTTGCAGGAGGGGGTGGGGGGTGGCCTGGCCCCATGGACACTGGCCAGTGCTGCGGAGAAGCACACACGTGCACCTTTCGGCTGCCGCGATCGTGTGGGCACAAGTCTCCGTGAGACCGCTCTCCCTTCTGCGCCTGCGCCCAGACCGGGGCCCCCAGGTCGTCCTGTGTCTCCGTTGCAGAGCCCGCGTCCCGTCCCCGCCACGCTCCCCGCAGCAGCCGCCCACAGCCCCACGGCCCCGTGTCTCACTGGCACTTGTGTTTTCGGTGTCTTTTCATCCTGGTGGGTGCGAGGCAGCTTCTCGCCCTGGTTTTGACGCCGAACGCGGCTTCCCGCGCATCCTGACCCTTCACAGGTCGGAGGACACACCCGTCCGGGTGTTCACCCGTTACTCACGGCACTTGTTTGTTGGGAACTTTGTCTTTAACAGTGACTCCGAGTGATGCAAAGGCCACCGCTGACCGCCTCCACACCGCCCGCCCCTGCCATCAGCGGGGAGGCGGCTGCCGACTGGCGGCTCGGACCCTGCTGGCCCTGTCTCTGTGCGTCAGGCCGGCCTCTGGCAGGCAGCGGGTGCTCGGGGCTGGACCCCAGACCGCTCGGAGACCCCGTCCGTGAGGCCGGCTGTGGCCGGGAGGCGGCATCTTGCTTTGTCTGAGGGGCAGTGGCTGGGGGGGCGGTCCTTTGCCTCGAACCTGGCACCAGCGAGGCCATCCCCTCATGTCTGTGGGGTGACGTTCAAGGCTGTGTCTGTCCCTGACCTTAAGCACACCCAGGGCTCATTCAAAGGGGCCTCTGGACTGGCTCCCTTATCGGCGGGAGAGCCAAGGAGGTCCCTGGACCCCACAGGTGTGGTAGGTGGGGTTCCCAGGGGGAACGGGGTACCTGAGGTGGACCAGGAGGGTGGAGGGACCCGGTGGGGGCGGGTCTGCAGGGGAGCAGTTGGGTGCACGCATGCCTCGGGCCCGTGGGGAGCCCCTGGACTGGGCTGCAGGGCCGGCCCTGCTCCCATGAGTTCCCCTGGGGGGCCTGCTTGGGGACCTGGCCCTGCCAGGGCAAGGAGGGTGACGGGGGTGACCCTTTGGTGGCTGGACTCCTGAGGTTGGAGGTAGGCCTCCCAAAACCCAGAGCTGGAAGGGGAGACCCTCGCCTTCCCCCAAGCCTGCCTTGGACTGGGAGTGTTGTCCCCTGCACGAGGGGTGGCACCGTGAGGTGGCCCAGCGGGTGTGGTCAGCCCTCTCGCGAGCCCTGTCGCTCCCCTGGTCGAGGGCCCTGCTGCAGCGCCCAGGCCAGGGTGTCCAGGGCCCCTCCCGGGAGCCCGTCCAGCCCTTCCGCCACCCAGGCCGTGGATGGTTGGCTCCCAGAGGTGGTGACATGCTGGATGAGCCAGGACATCTGCCCTTGGGGTCCCATCGAGGGCGCCCAGGTTTCAGGTCCAGTGAGGCCTTGGCCCCAAGTGCCATCCTGCTAAGCCCTGGGGGTGGGTGGCGGTCACTTTGTCTCTGAGCAAGCTCGGCCCCTGCCCCTCTGCCCCCCCCACTCCTCCCCCCACCGCCACGTTGACGAGCCCTGGGCCTGGGGCTGCCTGGACGTGGTGAGCCCGGAGGCCAGCCTGCCTGCTCTGCATTCCAGACTCAAACAGGATTTGGGGATTAGCGTTGTTTAAAATTATTCCTACACCTCACCCTCCAGAGGGGATCCTGTCTCTCCGAGGGCGGCCCACAGGGCGGGAGCGGCCGGGCCCCCGTGGAGCGTGAGGCCAGGCTCCGGGGGGACATGCAGCCGTCAGCAGAAATGCGGGCGTTTGTTTACTCTAAGGACTGCCTGAGACGCACTTCCAATCTGCTTACTGCACAGCGAAGGAAGTATCAGTGATTATTTTTAAAACTCAGCAAAGTAAGAAAAAAGCCTCTGGGGAGAGACTGCCTGATGGTGTGGGGGACCCTCTGGAGGACCCTCTCCATTCCCATCTCGGGAAACAAGTGCTCCAGACGAAGCCCCTGCTGCCAGCAGCTCCCGGCCAAGGCCACTGCCCCGGAGCCCACCCCCCACCACAAGGCCAGAGTCCACGCCTACGCGCTCGGCCAGCATGTCGCACAGGCCCCCAACCACACCCCCCAGGCCCCCTGAAGGACGTGGTGTTACAGACTGAGAAACTTGTCAAAGGAAAGCAGTCGACCCTCCCACACGGCCCCCCACCAGTCACTGAGCTCACCCCACCACACAGAGGGTGGGGGACAAATGCCCTGATCCATGACACACGAGAGCCAGCTGGCAGTGCCCACCACCCGTGGTCAGCTCCGGGGCAGGGAGGACCTACCACTGTCACCCAGTGGGGCACAGGCCCTGCCAGGGCCGGGCACCTGGGGACCGTGGGGCAGGGGACCAGCGGTGCGAGCCCTGAGCAGCCCCTCGCCCTCAGCAGAACGCCCTCAGGTCCATCCACGAGCCGGGTCAGGGTTCCCTCCCTTTTTAAGGCCGAGTGACGTTCCGTCTCACAGACAGGCCGTATTTTGTTTTGGCTGCTTGCTGTCCCTGGAGATGCCCCCCTGCGTTTAAGATGGCTTTTCGGTTTCTGCACCACAGGACCTCAGGATTTCGAGAGGGTTCGCGTCAAGTCATTCCGACACCTTAGCAGCAGCCCCATTCCGGCCGCCGGTGCAGAGGGGCGGGGGTTCCGTCCCCGACATCCTTGTTCATGTCTCTAAGCGGTATTTTTCAGCTTGCGCTGTCCGGATCTTTCACCTCTTTAGTTGATTTATAAGTATTCTTTCTGACGCTAGTGTAAACAGAACTGTTTTTGTAACTTCCTTTTCAGATTGGCCCATTGTTTGCAGGAACAATGCAACTGACACAAAAATGTAGCCAATTTGTACGTGCGGACTTTGCATCCTACTTTGCTGGGCTCATTTGCCGGGTCTGACCGTGCTCTGTGGCGTGGTCCGGGCGTTCTACGCGTGGGGCCGCGTCACCTGCGGGCAGAGAGGGCTCTGCTCTCGTTTTCCGTCCGGGTGCCTTTCCTCTCTGTCCTGCCCCAAGGCTCCAGCCGGACCGTCCAGGCCTGTGCGGAGCGGACGTGGCAAGAGCAGCGACCTTGGCTCGTTCCTCCTCTCGCAGGGAAAACGTCCATCATTCGCCTCTGACCTGGTGTTTGGTGCCGTTTTTTTCTTTTTCCTTTTCTTTTTAAATTATTGTTCAAGTACAGTTTTCTGCCTTTTACTCCCATTCCAGCCCACCCCCCCGCCAACCCCCAGTGCTCCCCACTGATGCGGGTTTTTTTTTTTTTTAACATGACTTTTTATTACAAAGAGGCAGCTGCCTTCTGTCCCTCTCTTGCTGAGAGTCTCTGGTCAGGAGAGGGTGTTGAATTTTATCCAGCATTGCGTCTGAGTCCGCGGGGACCGTGAGCTTCCCCCTTCATTCCATTGCTGTGATGTAAGGGACAGATCGATGCTGATGAGCTGAACTGTCCTTGCATTCCAAGAACAACTCCCACGTGGTCGTCAAGGATGATCCGTTCGGCCCGCTGCAGAATTCCGCGCGCGAGCATCTCGCTGCCTGTGTTCTGCTTCCTTGCTGTGGCTTTGTCGGGCTTTGGGATCGGGGAGATGCCGGACTCACAGAAAGCTCAGAAGGGCTCTCTCGGCTTGAATCTTTGGGAGAAGTTGGAGAAGGTCGAGTGTTGCTTCTTTAAATGCTCGGTGGGATTCGCCCGTGGAGCCCTCAGCTCTATGGCTTTCCTTTGTTTAGAGGGTTTTGTTGTTTTGTTTCAAATCTGTAAAATGTATTTATTTTTGGAGAGAGAGAGGGAGAGAAACATCCACGAGAGAGAGAAGGCTCCTGCACCTGCCCTGACCGGGGTGGGACCCGAGGCCCCAGCACACGCCCTGACCAGGGGGAATCAAACCGGCGACCTTCTGCTCTGCAGGACGACTTTGGACCAGCTGAGCCACACCCGGTCGGGGCTGCTGGGAGGTTTCTGATCACCGACTCAAGCTCCTTTCTAGCGATAGTCTATTCGGGTTTTCTCTTTCACCGTGACTCGGCCTCGGCAGGCTTGTTTCCAGACACTTGTCCTCCGGGCCATTGAGGCTGCACAGTTTGTAGGCAGGCGACGGCACCTTCCCCCGAGTTGGACTGTTACACTAGCTGTCCCCATTCATCTGTTTGTCTGCCCACCTCTCCCTCTCGCCCTCCGTCCCTCCGTCCGTCCGTCTGTCCGCGGCACGCCCACCCGTTGCACCCAAGCACCAGCCTTGGCTTACTGACTGCCCCTGCCTCCCAGCCCCCGACCACAGACTGGCGCGTGGGGCAGCCTTTCTGGGCCCAGGCAGGGGTCTCCTGAGTGGCACGGTCCCAGCCGACCTGGCACCCACCCTCCTTTCAGGACGGTGCCAGTGATGCCCCCTGAGCCCCCTCCCTGCTGGAGCCCAGCTCCCCGGCCCCTGTTCCCTGGAGGCTGTGTCCCGGTGGCCGTGTGAGGTGAAGGAATGACGGTCCCCTGAGGGTGGATGCGCTCCAACCCCAAGCTGGGGTGCGAGGCTTGAGCTTTGGGGACCAGTGGAAAACCCAGGCCCGGGGCCGTCACACCTCCTGGGCCAGGTGAGGGCACCAAACGCACCGCCGCTCCTGAGCCCTGGCACTGGTGTCCCCTTGGGCCCGGGAGTCCCTGGTCTGAAGGGCCTCGGGACTCACTGGGTGGCCATTGGCAGTGGACCTGGGCTGGGGCCTGGCAGGGTGGACAGTGCCAGAGGCCTGTCCCCGATCCTGCCGACAGGACCACGGGCCGCTGGTGCGGGGTGTCTCTCTGCAGAGGCTCCCCAAGGCGGGCGCTGTGCACGGGTGCGACCGGGCTGCGCGGGCGGCAGAGCCTGCGGGCGCCAGAGCCCGCAGACGCGCTCACGGCCCTCCATCCCCGCAGGAGATCGTCCTGGTGGTGTTCTTCGGCACGGAGTACGTGGTGCGCCTCTGGTCTGCCGGCTGCCGCAGCAAGTACGTGGGCGTCTGGGGGCGACTGCGCTTTGCGCGCAAGCCCATCTCCATCATCGGTGAGTCACGCCGGCCCCCGGGGCAGCCTCACCCGGGTCTCCAGGCAGGGCTGGGCCCCTTTGCCCCAGGAAGGGCAGCTCTGGCTGGGCGGACCCCCATCAGGGACACCACTGGGGCGTCCCTGAGGACAGAGAGCCCAGGCCACCCTGCCTAGGACAGGGAGGACCCCAAGGCCAGCAAGGGGGCCCCCGGGGTCTCCAGCCCAGGGCCAGCCTCAGCGCCCCACCCCCAGACGCTACTGGCAGGATGGGGTGGGGAGGGGACCGGGTGGCTCTGCAGGTGCCCAGGACGGGGCCAGGCCTGCCCCCCGAGGTTCCCTGGGTCCCTTCGAGGGGCTCCGCCGCACCCCTCTGCCAAGCTCTTTCCCCTGAGCCAGCTGCCAGGCTGGTGACAGTGGTGACCTGTGCCCCCCAGACCTCATCGTGGTTGTGGCCTCCATGGTTGTCCTCTGCGTGGGCTCCAAAGGGCAGGTGTTCGCCACCTCGGCCATCAGGTACGCCCAGGTGGACGGGCCCGGGCAGCGCGCGGGAGGGGGTGGCTCTGCGCAAGTTCCCCCCGCCGCCGGGACGCGGGCCTCGACCCGCCCGTTCAGGGGCCTCGGTCTGCCCATCTGTGAGCTGGGCTGAAGGCCATCTGGGGACAGGCAGGGCGTGGAGACGTGTTGGGGGAGGGGCAAGGGCGGGAGGGGTCCCGGCGGCGAGTGGGCTGCCCACGCCGAGGGCCGTGGGGGCACCGGCGGCAGGGACGTGCCCTGTGGGGACACAGACGCCTCCTCCGCAGGGGCATTCGCTTCCTACAGATCCTGCGGATGCTGCACGTGGACCGCCAGGGCGGCACCTGGAGGCTCCTGGGCTCCGTGGTCTTCATCCACCGCCAGGTGGGACCCTGGTGGGGGCGGGGCCGGGAGGGCCCCGGGTGGAGCCCCAGCCCCTGACCTGTGTGCCAGTCTGACAACGAGTCCCGTTCCTTTGAGCCGGGGACACGGGGCCGCCAGGCACATGAAAGGACCGACACACGGTATGGGAGGGCGCACAAGAAGCCCCGCTCAACAGGCCACCAACGGCCCTGGGGAGGCGCGGTGGCCCGCTCACCTCAGCTTGGCACTCACCACAGCCCGTGCGGTGGCCAGGGTAGGGCGGGCCTGGCTCCCGGGGAGCCGTGGGCACAAGGTCACTGTGACCGACGTGTGCCGTCTGCGTGGAGCTGTCTGGGAGCCGCGGGGCCCGGCCGCCTGCGTCTGTGCAGTGCGTCCCTGCAGCCCCGCACGCTGACCCGCCTGCCGCTCTGCCCCCCGTCCCCAGGAGCTGATCACCACCCTGTACATCGGCTTCCTGGGCCTCATCTTCTCCTCCTACTTCGTGTACCTGGCCGAGAAGGACGCTGTGAACGAGTCGGGCGGCATCGAGTTCGGCAGCTATGCCGATGCCCTCTGGTGGGGGGTGGTAAGTCGGGGCCCTTGCGGGGGGACTGTCCTGTGGGGGCTGCACAGCCACTGTGCTCTGGGCCCAGGTGGAAGAGGGGCCTGGACATCACCCTGTGGGGCTTGGGGATCTGGCTTCTTGAGATTTTACGCCTCATCAGTGGGGACTCTGAGCCCCAGTGCCGGAAACCCTTCCGGGCAGAGCTGGGCATGAGAGGGCCAGCCGGACACTTGCTGCGGGGAGGACAGGGGTGTGGCCCTGGGGCACAGCACTCTGGAGCATGGCGCATGGGGCCCAGGAGGACCTGGAATGGGCTGGAGCCACGGCGTGAGCCCAGCAGGTGCCCGTGTGAGCTGCCATCTAGACTGGGGTGGTGGTGGCTGATGTCCAGGCCTGTTCCAGCCAGGGAGGGGGCAGGGTGGCCGCCTGCATGCCGGAGGTGGGCCAGCCTGGGGGGCGGCACAGGGGCTCCACGGGCAGTGTCCGCCTCCCTCTCTCCAGGGAGCGGCCCACCCTGCCGGTCCAGGTGGGGGGACTGCCCTGTGGCCCAGACAGGCGCATGCTTTTTTTTCTGCTTCTGCGTCCTCACCCCGTGACACCGGGCGTGCAGAGAGAGCTTCCGACTCTGGCCTCGTCAGGGAGTTTTCCGCGAGTCCCCAGTACGCCAGGCCACGCAGCACAGGCAACGATGTGCTGGCCCGTGTCCCGGGCAGGGAGGGCCCAGTCCTGGCCCCTGTCCGCCGTCCGCCTTCCCTCTCGGGGCCAGACCCCACAGGCCCAGGTCGGGCAGCCCCAGCCGGTTCGGGAGGTAGGAGGCTCAGTCCCCAGTAGGGAGCTTGCCCGTGGTGGACAGAGGGGACAAGTCCTGGTGACAGGGCGGGCACAGGCTGCACAGGGCCTAGAGGATTCCCAGGGGACCGGGGCACGCGGTGAACACCCAGACTCGGCTGATAAGCTGTGCCCAGACTGGGAGCTGCCCCCCCACCCGCCCCCCGCCTCCCGCCATTCCTGGAGCCGCGGGCAGTGAGGCTCCCCCCGCCCCCTGCACAGCGGCGCGCCCACTCCCACACCTGTGCAAACATCCGCCCGCCAGCCAGGAAAACGGCCCCTTTGTGCCCAGCTTGGCACCGATGCCCCAGCTCTGGCCGTCAGCTGCAGCTCCAGCCTCGGCTACCGCAGGCCCCGGCCCGGCCATTGTTCCCGCAGGGCCCCAGGCTGCCCTGGGCCCCTGACACCCGGGCCCTGGGGCAAATGGCTCCCATTCATAGTGCCTGCTGCCCTGCAGCTGTCCAGGCGGCCCCCACGGCTTGAGTTATGGGCTGTGTTCCTGGCGCGTCCCGGACAAACAGAGCTGCAGAAACCGAAGCTGGGCAGCCCGGCCTGGGGTTGCGGCCCGTGTGTGTCTGTGGCGAGCAGTGGCTTTCCACCGGCTTCCTGTGTCCTGGCTTCGCCCGCCCTCCGTGGTGTGAATGCCGCCCCCACCTCGCCCTGAGACACGAGGGGCTTCTCCCCAGTGGACGATGGTGTGGCGGGCAGGGCCATTTCTGGTCTGCCCACTGGGCAGCCCTGCCGCCAGGCCGGCCTCTCCAAGGTGTGGGGGACACGGGGCAGTGGGGCGGCCCGGGGGCCCTCCACCTCTCCGCCGGGCCAGCCGGCGTCTGTCGCATCAGTGAACGAAGGTGCCGATGTGCCTACGGGGTAGTGGCATCCCTGGGGACAGGGGTACGATCATCTCCAGGGGCTGCCACACCTGAGTCCCGCAGGCTGGGCCCTGCCGCAGCACGTGTGCCTCCTGTCCCTGATCGGGAGCCCGAAGTCTGAGGTCCAGGTATCCCCAGGCCTCGCTCCCTGTGATGGCTCTTGGGGAGGGGCGTCCCTCCCAGCTTCTGGGGGCTCCAGGTGTCCCTGAGCTTGTGGCCACACCTTCTGCCTCTTCTAGGAGCACTTGCAAGTTAGAGCCACCCCAGGCCACCCCGGCTGGTCCAAACTCTCCAGCCCCACCTCGACCCCCTGGACAAGGGCCCCATTCAATCCCAGTGAGCTCCGGTTCTGAGGGTTCAGGCGGACACGGGTCTTCAGCGTGGGGACTCCACTCTGCAGGAGGGGACAGCAGGCGCCTGTGTGGGCCTCTCAAGCTGAGCCTCAGCGTTCACTGGGCAGAGAAGATGCCAGCCCGGTCTCCTCTCGTGCCCCCATTCTGGGAGGGGACACCCTGCCTGCTCCCTGACATGTGGCACCCACGCCCGGCCGCTGGGAGTTTGGAGAGCATCTCGGGCTTTCTTCTTCGCTCCTGGAACAAGACGCATCTGTCTGTGCTGCAGGCGGAGAGGAGGGACAGGCCACCTCTCCAAACACAGGCCCTGTACTGTCCAGCGCCAGGGGTCTCTCCAGTCGGGCGGCCGGCTCTGTTTACCCCCGAGTCTAAATTTAGAATGTAGAGTGAAAAAGCTGGCAGCCTGTCCCCGCGTCTCGGCCACTCTTTCAAATAGTCGGACTCCTGTTCCCCCTCCTCTGCCGGGGGCTCCGGAAGGCCCCGGCTGCTCAGGCTGTGCAGCACTCTGGGCGGGCGGGGTCGGAGGGCTCAGGGGCTGGGTGGCGCCTGGGCTAGGACAGGGCCTCCCAGACGGCCACCTGCAAGTGACCGTGTCAGGACCTCATCTGACGCTGGGGAAACTGAGGCCCCATGGGTCTGGGGGCGCGGCCCCATGCTCAGACCCCACCCGATCCAGGGCCCTTCCTCTGCCCGGGGCCCTGGGCACAGACCGGGAGGGCCAGGCAGCTGAGAGCTGAGCGGCCACAGCTCCCGCGCAGTCCTGGGCCCGTGGGCCATCGGCTCTGGAGCCTAGCCAGAGTGCTCCCCAAGGAAGGGCATTTACAGCTGGGTTTTGCAGGATGGGTAGGAGTCTGGGGCCGGTCTGTCTGCTGCCCAGGGGCTGTCGCCTGGGGGGGTTCCTCACTGGGGCTTGGCGGGCCCCGTGGCGGTGGTCACAGGGCTGATTTCCTTGAGGATGGGGTTCGGCTGTCAGCCCGAAGGGGAGAAACATGGCCGGTGCAGGGAGCGGCATGGTGACGTGGTAGCCAGGGCCCCGGGGCTGGAGCCGGACGTGGAGTGAGAATGTGATGCCATAATGGGGGGCCCAAGGCCCCTTCTCAACAGTCTGGGCGAACTGGTGCCGGAACAGCCCCCAAAGCCTCTGCCACAGCAGTGGCCCCTGTCCCCAGCCTGTTTCCTCCTCCATAATGACTTGTCAGGTGGAGGTGCCACATGGGGACCCCCTAAGTGTCTGGGTTGGCAGGGTCCTACCTCCTGCTACCGGCCACTCTCCCCTCTGGAAAGACGGCCAGGACATCTCCAGATGTGTCGGCCTGTGGTGGTGGACGCAGACTGACCGCTTGGCCAGTGGTGTCACCGTGCCTGAGCCGGGGCCCCCAGCCCCCTCGGAGGGCAGCCTGCGGGGCGCTGCTGTAGGAAGGGGGGAGTCTGGTGATACCAGTACCCGCTCCTCGGGGCAGAGCGGGTGGGGCCGGGGGCTGGGAGCTTCTCCCCACCCCGGCCTCCGGCCTCCGACGTGGCAGTGGAGGCGACTGGGAGGATGAGGCCGGTTCGAGGCACCAAGACAGGCCAGCTGTGTTTGTGGGGCCTCGGGGGAGCTGCCCGGCACCCAGGCGAGGGCCGAGGTGGCCCAGCCGTGTCTCCCTGTATTTGGGGCCCCCACAGTGTGCAGATCTGCGTTCTAGATCCCCCTTGTCCGGGGCAAGTTCCAAGTAGGGCTGCTTGGGGCTGCAAGCACAGGAAAACAAAGTGCTGTGGGCAGGGGCCCCCTCGGCCGAGAAGGGGTGTCCTGAACTTGACAAGGAGGGTTTGGGACAGGGTCTGAGGGGCCCAGCCATCCCAGCTCTGGGCATGTGCTCTCCAGGTGGGCGACACCTGACCAGGGCAGCCAGACTGTGCTGGCCGGCTGGCTGGGAGTGGCATGGCCCGGGCCCCCGGACCGTGACGAGGGACCCTCCAGGGCGCCTGTGCACCGAGGCAGCCGCCTGCCACCCGCTCACTCCGCCCCCGAGCGTCCTGGCCAGGCCTGCCCTCCCCCACCCACATTCGTTCCTGTCGTCGTGGGTTTTGGGCGTTAACTTCGATCATTTAAAAGGTTGCCATACGTGTTATTTCTCTCAGCGTTTCCCGAGTTTTCTGGCGTGTGCGCCCCAGCGGCTGCTCTGCCGTGTGGTCCTCGGCGGGTCCCTGGAGTGCCGAGTCCTCACGCGATGCATCTGTTGACAGCGCCTTGGATCGCGGGCGTTTTTAACGTCTTCGTGTCCGTTCGCTTTGAACCAGTAGATGTCTGCTCACGTGACCAGCGTGTGTTTGCACGCGTGAAACAGGCTCCCGGGAGAGGAGCCTGCTCTGCAGTGTGGGCTGTGGCAGCCTCCCGGTGCCCCGCCCGTGGCCACCCCGGGGCGGCCTGCATGCCGGGCCCTCTGAGAGGCAGCTGTGGCCCAGACGTCCCACGTGGGGTGCAGGCCCTCTGGGAGGACACCCTGGTGACGGCGAGGCTCTGAGCCGCCCCGGAGCCCCTTCTCTGCCAGCCGGCTGCCAGCCCTGCCGTGGCCCCGGGGCCGCCTGGCGCCCCCTGCAGGTCCCCGGGTGGAATGCAGGGGGGCGGGTGTGAGGGGTCGGGCCTGAGTGAGCCTGAGAGTGTCGTGCCCGCCCTGGCACCACTGTGGGGCCCTGCTGTGCTGCATGTGTGTGCACACGTGACCTCTCGCCTTGTGTGTCCCACATGCATGTGCGGTGTCCCTGGTGTGGAAGGTGGGTTTGCCCAGGGAGGGTCTGTGCGCGGGCAGCTCGGTGCCTGCACGGGACGTGCCCCTGTCTCCCACCCCCGAGCGGTCGTCCTGCCCGCGGCCCAGCGTCCTTTCCGGCTCCTGCCTCCCTCGGGCCTCTGGCCCCGCTCCAGGTCTCTGCGCCCTCACCTGTGCCACGGGGAGGCCCTCCCTCCCCGTCCCCACTCCCCACAGCGGACTCATGGGGCAGGGGCACGAGGGGGACTCCGCGTGGACTTTCCGGGCCCGCAGAGGCGCCCTCGCTGGCCTGGCGCTCCCACAGGAGCGAGGCCGGGCTGCCTGGGACGGGCTGGCAGGTCGCCCCATCCAGCTCTGGTCGGGAGCTGGCCTCCCCCAGGGGCGGCCTCCTCCAGGGTGGGGCCAGGCCCAGTCCTCCCCAGGGGCGGCCCTGGCGCTCTGTGGGCACCGAGCCCCCACGGGGAGCTGGCCGCCGTGGCGGTGTGCGGTTCGGGAGACCCCACCCACCAGGTCGCCCTGGGGCCCCCTCGGCCGCTGCGCGCAGGCCGGCCAGAGGCCCACGCTGACCCCGTCTCCCCCCCCCCACCAGGTCACGGTCACCACCATCGGCTACGGGGACAAGGTGCCCCAGACGTGGGTCGGGAAGACCATCGCCTCCTGCTTCTCCGTCTTCGCCATCTCCTTCTTCGCGCTGCCCGCGGTGGGTGCTGCGGGCGGGGGCTGCTGCCCGCCACCTCGGGGTCACAGGCGTGCGCGGCGCATGTGTGCATTGTGTGCGCTCACACTCTGGATGTGCACCTCTGCTGTGCGTGTTCACGGGGGTGCAGAGCACGGGACGGTCCGTGCTCCTGTGTGCACGCTGCCTGGGTGTGTGCACACATCTTTGGGGGGCTCTCTACCTGATGTGCTGGTCCCTCCCATCCCAGCAGCTGTCCCGGGTGCCACAGGGTCCTCCTTGGGTGGGGGACCTCCCACCTGGGGCGGCCCGGCCTGACGCCCGCCCCCATCCCCCGCAGGGCATCCTCGGCTCTGGCTTCGCGCTCAAGGTCCAGCAGAAACAGCGGCAGAAGCACTTCAACCGGCAGATCCCGGCGGCGGCCTCACTCATCCAGGTGACAGTGCCCTCCTGGCGGCCTTGCCGTCACGTCCAGCTGTTTGTGGGGTCTGCCCCGCGAGTGTCCATCCTGGGCAATGGGATCTCCCCGCCCTGGCCCTCCCCACGTGGTTCCTGGGGAACATGCGTGGTGCGCATTCCCCAGCCCGGCCGCGAGTACCTCCTGGACCTCCTGCTCCAGCCAGGCGGCTGCAGGGCCCGGGGAGCCCCGTGGACAGTCGCGCCCTGCGGGCGGGGGGGGAAGAGGACACGGCTGGGCCACTCAAGACCTGCCCTGGCCGGTCTGTGGGCCTCTTGCTCCAGCCACAGCGGCCGGCCTCAGTGTTTCACCGACTCGATTTGCTTCTCCCTCCCGAGAAGGGAGCTCGCTCCCCGCGGGAACGAGTCTGGGAAGAAGGGGGCCCAGGCGAGTGTCCCCGAGGGGCTCAGGGCCCTGCCGATGCAGGGTTCCTGTGCAGGACTGCCCCCAGCGCCCACGGGCTCAGGGCCCCCTCGCAATGCCAAGCGAGGCCCACAGCTCAGCCCAGAGCGCACCTCGGGGGGGCCAGAGGGGGCAGAGTGGGAGAGCAGTGGGGCAAGAAAGGTGCCAGAGCCCCCAGGTCCACGGCTTCAGTCTCTGGGGACTTGGCAGAGAGCTGGCCGCCCTTGGCACAAACAGACTTGGGCTCGAGAACCTGCCTCAGGTCAGGCCCCTGGGGGTTCTGGTCCCAGCCCTGCTGGGGGCGGATGAGCAGGGACGAGCGGACCCAAGGCCCCCCAAGGAGGCTTCTGACCGTGGACATGGGACACTGTGGCCCCTCTGCGTACCCAGAGCTGAACGCCAGGAGGGTCAGGGGTCGCACCTGAGGTCCTTCAGGAACCCCAGGTCTGGGGCCCGGGTGTCCTACCTGGACAGGGAGGACACAGGAGCAGTGTCCATAAAGCCGAGGAGCTGTGCGCCCCCCAGGTCCGGTTTCACAGCCCCGTGCCCTGTCCTTGTGGAGAGGCCGTAACCGGGTCTATAGAGCCAGCCGCCCGAGCGGGCAGCCGCCTGCTGGAGGGGAGCCCTCGCGGCCCGGGATTGAGTCACACGTGGAGGAGGGGGGCCTTCCCGTGACGCCGGCGGGTTTGAGGGTTTGGGCTGCAGCCTCTAACCAGGCCCTGCCGGGTGGCGTGGCAGGTGACGGCCTCTCCCCTCTGGTTCCAGACGGCCTGGCGCTGCTACGCCGCCGAGAACCCCGACTCCTCCACCTGGAAGATCTACGTGCGGAAGGCACCCCGGAGCCACGCCCTGGTCTCCCCCAGCCCCAAGCCCAAGAAGTCTGCCATGGTAACAGCCCCCCCCCCACGCCCAGGACAGGGGCCCCTCGTCAGCGGGCAGGGAGGCTGTGGGGGTCAGCGCCCGGCTGGGGTTTGGCCCTGGGGTTTCAGGGTGTCCGCATCGTTCTGGGCCCTGAGAAGGGTACGTGTCCCCGTGTTAGACCCACCGTCCCAGTGTCCCCAGACTCGGGGTCAGGGTGGTCCAGGGCGGTGCCCCAGGAGCGGAACACACCACACAGAAGCCTCCGGGAGGGCCTTGGCTTTCCCTGCTGGGGGTGGCATGATGTCCTGGCTTGGGGACGAGGGTCTTCAGGTCGCGGCTGGGAGGGCCCGGGCAGCTGTGGGCCGGAGTCCTGCGGTTCGGCGAACGGAGGGTGAGGTGGGCCCTGGCCTGCACCTTCATAGAGGGACCCACCTCTCAGTTCCCAGTTCCACTGGGACCCCTCGCCCCTGCTGTTCCCTCGGCCAGAACCGTCCGCAGGCTCACACATGGCCTCTTCCCTTCCCTCTTGCGGGTCACGTCCCCCAGCAGGTCGCCCCTCATGTGCTCCAACCTCCGGGGCATAGCCCTCGTCACCGCTGCCCTGCTGTGCCCTTGCAGCCCTGCCTGCTCGCCGGCTTCTCATTCCCCTGCCTTGCCGAGAGCTTGCGTGGGAGCCCAGGGTGCTGCAGCCCACCCTCTGGGTGGGAGGTGCCAGGGCAGGCAGGCCCCGGAGGTGCCCTGGGTGGCGGGGGGGCGGTCAGGCACAGGATGCACTCGGCCACCAATTTTTTTTTATAAGGTGAGGAGGAAAAAGTTCAAAGTGGACAAGGACAACGGGCTGAGTCCGGGAGAGAAGATGCTCACGGTGCCCTACATCACGTGTGACCCCGTGGCGTCGGAGGAGCGCAGGCCGGACCACTTCCCCGCGGACGGCTACGACAACACCGGTGAGGGCCCTCCGCGAGGCGTGCAGGCAGGGCGCTCGGCGCCGACCCCGGCACCCGCTCCTCCCCGACCACCTGCCCCCGCTGGTGGGCAGTGGGCGCTCCACATCCTGGGCTGGGCTCCCCGGGCCTAGCGTCTGCCCACCCAGTCCTGCCCTCCTCTGCCCGAGGCTCAAAAGCTTGTCTGTCTGCAGGGCCCGGCCCCACCCAAAGGGACCCCCTCCTGTTTGGACCCGGGCCCCCCTGCTGCTGGGCTCCAGGCCCCGCCTCACGGGCCTTTGCGGGATGGGCTTCCAGGAGGCAGCGTGCTGGGTGGCTGGTGCCCCAGGGGCGGCCCAGGGGAGGCAGCCCCAGTTCAGGTGGAGTGGGTGCCACCCCTCCCCTCTCGGGCCTGCCCCGGAGCCCAGCAGCACGTCCTGGCTGTGCCTGGCAGAGGTGAGGACGGAGGTTTTGTCTCGGCTGCGGCAGAGCGTGGCAGGGCCGCTCCATCCTCTGCAGTCCTGGGTGGCCGGTGCCGGGCCCGCCAGGCGGCCAGCTCGCCTGTCCGGTGTCTGTGACTGTGCCCTGGCAGCAGGGCACTCAGCAGGGCAGAGTGTGTGCCGGGAAGGGGCCCTGGCAGCCCGCGCCCCGGGGACTGTGGTGGGCACCCTGCCAAGGAGTCAAGTGGGTCGGACCCGCCACCCTGGCCTCGTCATGTGCTGTCTGGAGGTGGCTCTGGCCTGGCCACGTTGCTGGTGAGCCCGGGGACGTGCCCCCTGCCCGCCGCTGCAGGGGGCACAAAGGACAACTGTGCCGGCGGATACCCGGTGCCCCCGCAGCCCCGGGTGCAGGGCAGGACCATTGTCGCGATGCAAATGGAGGCTTTTCTGCAAATGCTAATGGGCAGGTCGGGCGTGGGGAGAGGCATCCCTGGCGTCCGCTGAGAACAGGGCGCCCGCGCGGCGTCCATTCAGCCCCTGGTGTCACTGAGTCCGCAGCGCCGCCCACGGGATGCTAATGAGCCCGAGGGCCGGGAAGGTCCAGCGCCTCATGTGGGGGGCCCTGCCTGCTCGATGGGTCAGTCCAGCACAGAGCCACCGGGTTTCTGGAGCTGGAGCGGCTGGTGAGGCCACCAGAGGCCCGGGGTGGCTCCCACCCTGAGGTGCCTAGGGTAGGGGCCGCGCAGAGGCCTGCCGGGAGGAGACGGGGCGCAGACTGGGCCGGTGCGTCGCTGGGAAAGGCCGCGGCCCTGCCCCTCTGTGGTGGGCGCCCACAGCCTCGCTGGGTTCGACTGTCAAGCCAGGCTCAGGCCTGGAGCTGAACCTTGTAGGCGCCCTTCTGGGTGTGCGAACAGGTGCGTGAGGACGGTCACCTCTGTCCCGGCACCTGGCACCTGTCTGCAGTGCCCACCCACACCCAGCACCCGCCCATACAGCGTCCCCCACCCCCCACAGCGTCCAGCCTGCCCCAGGCTCTGCTCCTCAGTCGTTCGCAGCATCCTGGCTCACCAGGGCCTGTCAGGGGCCTGCTGTGCGTGGGGCCAGGTGAGGCCCCCGGTGGCGCAGGGACCCCAACCGTCCCGAGAGGGAAGCGGGCGAGGCAGCAGGGGGCAGGCGTGTGGGCCTCTGCGGGATGGGCTTCCAGGAGGCGGCGATGTCGTGGCTGCAGGACGGAAGAGCGAGGGAGCCGCCCGGCACCTCCCACCCAGGGGGTGAGCTCACGACAAGGGGACTCGAGGGCGCACAGTGCCCGCGCACCTCCACACGTCCTCGGGGCGGCCCCACGTGCGGGGCTGCTGTGGTCACCCTGGTTCTCACGCCCTAAGACCCGGATCCCCGGGTGGTGAGCACAGGCAGGCAGGACACAGGCAGGGGAAGGCCAGGGCCAGGAGCAACTGGGGTGAAGTGAGGGGACCTCGGACTCAGAGGCTCGGCTGTGGGCCTGGAGGGCGGGGGGAGGCAGGGCCGCTTAGGGTTCAGGGTAAAGAGGGGCCATTGACCTTCGTCACGACCACCCAGAGCCAGGAGGTGAGGGCGGCTCTAACCCCCGTACCCCGTTGGCCCCTGTGTGGGCACCGGCGTCCCACTCTCTCCAGGTAGCTCCCGGGCCCTGCAGAGTCCCTGCCGCCGGCTCCAGCTGTTTGCCGGACCGAAGGAAGGGCCCTGTGGCCTCCAGCTTTGCGGCCGCGTGGCCCGACTGCTTCCTGGCCGTGTGCCGGGTGCCCACAGGGTCCTGCCTCGAATGAGGACGCTCCCCTCCACCATCCTCAGCAGGCAGCCCTGGGCTCCCGGCCCCCGGCCCCCACCCCCGGTCCCCTCCTGTCCTGTGGGCGGCTGTCACCCTGGGTTTTGGGGTTGGTCTCTGTCCGCCGCCCTCCCAGGGCTGCTGACGGGCACAGTGGAGACTCACTGCACCGGCTGCCACTGTGCCCATTTCCATGTCACGGCTGGACGCAGCGGGGCTTCCGTGAAGGGCCGTGATGCTCAGGGCTGTGTGTCAGAAAGGGGCGTGCGGCGCCTCTGCTCTCGGAGCCTGGTTGGCTTGGGGGGCACGCCCCGGGGGGGCTACGTCTCCCCGCGCAGCCGAAAGGCACGGCCCTCCCACCTGGCTGCGGGCGGGCGGGTTTCCCCAGGGGACCCCTGGGCGCCGAGTGCCTGCTCCTTGACTTTGTCATTTCTCTGCAGCGAGTCGGGCTGTCGGAGTCTTTTGTGTTTCCCGCCTGCCGCGGGTCGTGGTTCCCAGCCTGGGATTCGTGTCTGCTGTCGGATGTGGAGGAAATGTCGCCTCCCTGGGCGCTTGCTCCTTCTAGAAACTTCTAGGCCACCGGGCTCTGTGCTCCGCCCCTGCGTCCCGGCCACCGCATCCCGGTTTCCTCGTGTCTGTGTCTCAGGGCCTGGTGGCCGCACCACCGACACTGCAGTTTCAGTCGCCACGGGCGTCCTCACATCCGCCTCCTTGTTGAGGGCGGTTCATCTGCGTGACCTCGGTGCCCGTCCCCTCCTCGAACTGCAGGGCTTCTCGGTGTCGGGTCCTTTGAATGGGCCAATGCCGCCTCTCCCCTGCAGCTGCACGGTCTGCGGCTCCTAGGAAGTCTAACCCGGTGTCTGTGGCTTCTCTGACTTGGGCTCAGGGTGTCTCGTTTCCTCGTGGCTTCGCAGGCCCAGGCTGTGACCTGGGGGCGGTGGGGAAGCTTCGACCTGTGGGGCTTCCCGTGCGCCCGGATGCAGGCTTCCATCTGTGGGGTTCTGGGGTGCTCAGACGGAGTGGAAGTTGTCCCTCTGCTTGTCCAGGTGGCCCGGTGAGCTGATCCACATGAGGGTGGCGTGGGGACTGCAGACAAGCTGTGCCAGCAACTCCCGGTCTCGGGTGGTGCCGGCCCGGGCCACGCCCATCAGGAGGGGTCTTGACCGAGACTCCGAGACTGGAGGCCAGGACGAGTGGGGGGCCACAGTTTGCTCTGCTTGTCGGCTTTGCGCTGCCTGTTCCTGACCGGCCCAGCCCCTGCACGGCCTGGGTGTTCTTGGGGCGTCTCGGTTTCCAGGCCCCACTGGTCCTCCTGGGGGACCTTATGTCTGCACAGTGGCCCCCCCAGGAGGGCGGCCCCCGGGACCAGCTGGGAGAACCGGCGTGCAGTCCCCAGTGCTGTGGCACTTGCTCGCCACCCGGGGGCCCCACAGCAGCCTGTTGGGGACTAGCAGAGAGGGACTCTCTGTGGTGGCCCATCACACAGCTGCCCCCAGGACAGGGCCCGGAGGTGACACGTCAGGCTAGCACTTTCCCGGAAAGTCCCTGAGTCACCTGGGGAATGTACTTTCAACAGACTCAGAGGCCATCTCTCGGGATTCTGCGTCACCCGCCTGTGGGCCATCCCAGGGACGTGTGTCTGGAACAAGCGCCCCGGGCGAGGGCCGGCGCCAGGCCGCAGGGGAACCAGGGGCGGGGCTGCCGTGACTTCTGGGTCAGAGGAGAAGGCCCTGGAAGGACAAGCAGGGCCCTGGGGGCCTTCCTGGGGTCAGCGGCCTGCTCTCCAGGGGACTTTGGGTTGTAATCCTGGTGACCATGCTGGTTGCCACACGCCCATCAGACCAGGGTCCTGCGGCTCCTCGCGTGGGTGGAGGGTGAAGGGGAGACGGGGCAGAGGCTGCCCCCGGTTCCTTGGACACACCCCGAGTTCCCGGGTCGGAACCTCGTCCACAGGCCCAGCGGGAGCTCTGGCCAGGTTAGACCGTGTTCTGTCCCCTGATGAGTTTCAAATGACCCAGGAGAAAAATAAAGCCCATTCCCTGACCACAGTGGAATTAAGTTGAAAATCAACACTAGAAGGACCCCTGGAAAATTGTCCGTGGGCTGGAGACCAAGTGACGTCCTTCAAAACAGCACAGGGCAGACCAGAGCGGCCAGGGGAACTAGGACGTGTCTTCAGCTGCGTGGAGGGGAAGACCCGCAGAGCAGCGCGTGGGGGACGGGCAGATGCGGCCACACGGGGAGGGCGACCCGGCTTTGACCTGAAGAACCCGGGAGGAGCGGGAGCGAGGCACGAATGGCGGTTGGAGGAGCGATGGAGGAAATGCAGAACAGAGAAGCCACAGAGAAAAACGAAGGCCGAGAGCTGATCTTTTTGGGGGGGAGATGCATAAAACTCCACTCAGATGTATCGGGAGACAAAGAGAGAAGGCACGGATTTAAATCAGTGTCAGAAATGAGAGAAATGGCCTGAACTAGCAACGAGCAAAACAGAGACAGACTCGGAGCAAGCTGGCAGCGGGGCGGGGGGGGGGGGGCACGCGCGGAGCAAAAACGGAAAATGACTCGGGGACGGCGGGGTGAGGGTCGGGGTGGGGGTGCAAGGGGGCGTGGGAAAGTACAGTAGAACTTTGTTCGGCCCGTTACAAAATACAACAGGTATTGAATATGTATTTAAAGAAATGAGGGGACGGCGGCACATTCCCCGCAGGTTTCCACGGGGCCGAGGAGGAGTGTTCTCTGCGGTGTTTCAAGGCAGCAACTTCGAAAAAACGGGCGAA